TGCCTTTCGTCTATACAACGTGATCGATTTGGTTTTATGTTTTTCGATCTGGATACTGCCGAGTAAATTGATGANTTAACAGTGCTCTCTGAGAGCTGAGAGTCGTATGGCGAATGCATTGGTCGTCTGTTGTTATTGCAGCTTTTCGACGTTGAGCTTTCCTTCCATTGTTTCGCGCACATTTTTTGCTGCACAGAGGCGGGTGCCTTTTGTCTATACAACGTGATCGATTTGGTTTTATGTTTTTCGATCTGGATACTGCCGAGTAAATTGATGGTTCCTTTTATGCATGAACTATTACCATGTGTCTTTCGTGGATACTACTGTAAAACAAGCAGTTTGAATACGAAGGTTAGCAACGGAAGTGAATAAGGTTCAAAATCAGACATTTTCAACCTTAACTGGTTTATAATAGTTACTATATTAGCTGCTAACTTTTCAATGTTCCACTGAGCTGCACATCCATAAAAGTATCGTCATGCGCAGTAGACATCGTAGGAATGAAGTTATCAAGTGTTCAATAACTACACATGCACTTATGTAGAATAAAGAAATTTTTCTCTAATTCAAGATGCCTTGCAAAGGATGTGAGAAAGGTAAATACATACTTTACATAAAAATTAACTATTGATTTAAAAGTGTTTTACAATTGCAGAATGCAAATGCACGCCAGAAAAGTGCGATGAGAAATGCAAATGCGGAAAGGATAACAAATGTAATTGCCATGGGAACAATGCAGGAAAGGCTGAAGGTGCTGCTGCTAAATCTTGTTGCAGTGCAGGTGGTGATGGAAAGAAATGTGGAACTTAAAACAATTAAAATAACGATCGCTTAGGCTTTGAAATATAAGTATATTCACAAGTGCTCGTAAACGCATAAAAGTTAAATGTATTAAATATTTTTGGATTGTGGCGAACGTTCGAAAATGACCTTCGATATCCAGTACGCATATCGAACTGAGAACGAACTCATAACCAACCTCAGTTTTCCAACGTTGGAAATACACTGGAGATTGGCTCGAAAAAACAAATGGAAACCAAAGTAACAAGAGAGAAAGTGAAATCCAGCTCTTTCTTGAAGGGAAATATAAGACAATCACTCTCTGTCATTAAAATTTCAATTCGATAATGGGCTGTATTTTGAATTCATAATAGAAGGTAAAATACATTGGATAACGAATGTTCCGTTTTGTTGGAGAATGGTCAAGTTCTTGAATCGAATACCTATGCCACATTCGTTGTCGAAGGTGAGATTTGTTTTCCAATCATGTTCGAATTGTTAACCAAGCCCAATGTTTTTTGGCTAACGAAATGAAAGTTCTACATGAGTCAGTTTAAACAGAGGTGAGAAATTACTTGGGACATTTCTATACTTAGGTAACGATGAAATATCATCTTCTTATTTCGCACTACGACCGTTTGTCGGTTTGCGCTGAGACCAAAAAACTTCGAGTGCAGACATGTAATTTTGAGCTCGTTTCTTTCATAGTTTTCGTGGATGCCCTTGCTTTCGTTGTCCACCCATTTGTGCCGACTCCAAGGATCATTTCATCATTATCATTCATATAAAATTATTGTATTTTCATACGCTTAACCCTTTAAGACACTTTTTGAGTGATCAGAATTTATGAGTCTAAAATGAGTATTTCTTTTTTCATAAATATGATTCTCAACCAGACTGACTCACTTCGGAACATTTTGGTTGGACTCGTATTGGCCTGCCCTTCTAAGATGGATAATATGTTCTTTTCTGACTTTCTGACCCTTTTTTGAACTTAAAATGAGGGCTTCCACTCGGAATTCTGAGTCTTTTCTGACTCTAAAGCGAGGCCAAATGTTTACAGGCCCGAATAGTTCGACATTCCATTTTCTTCGCTACCCAACGTATATGCTGGCAAAGCTATAGATCTTGAGTTATCTGGAAAACCCAAAAGACTTCTCATATTTCTGCCCCATATAAAAGGACGGGCATGATAAGAGATTCGAAAGACGTACGCTTGCGACCACGTTCGCTCACATTGGGGAACGTGAGAAGCACATGTGCGAGATGCAGACGGAGCCAATTGTTGTAATTGTTGTTGTAGCAGCTTACTAGGCCCTGGCTGGACCGCATTGTCCCGTAATCGTTATCGTCAGGCTCAACTAACGGGAGGCCCAGGAAGTGTGTCACTCCGACCAGGTTGGACCAGAGGGAGAAGGGTGTTAGTTGGGAGGGAGCCAAATCGATTTATTTGGTTTAAGTGTGAGTCGCTCACAGAAGTCACCATATTTATATAACCAGTCTTTAGCTCCAGGCGCCCGATTGCAGGGCCTGTTCGAGGTACGTAATAAAAACGGCGAGGAACTGTCATTAGTCGATATGCAAGCAAATGCATAATTTCCTCCCAATCATGTAAGGAGGCATTACTACGACCTTATGAGGGCATCCAGGCTTAAATCAAACAAGCACTGAACTTGACTTTGTATAGGTAGGACATCAACGACATACTCCGATGCCCCATTATAATGTTGTTTTGGAGAATGTTGCTATTGCCTTTGACCAGATATACATAAATCTGGGTCGCTTCGGTTACGTGCATACATGCCATAATTGGAATACAACTGCAAGCTGTAGTATGTCTCCTAAGCTCCGCGCCACTCTTCCACATATATGTTCCAGATATTGTAACAGGTTATACTAAATACTAATCCAGAATTGATGCAGCCATACATGTCCAGCTTGTGAGGTAAATGTTCACGATATTCACCATAATATGGTTATATTCAGGCAGGTTCTGCAATTCACTTCCGAGTGAATTTGAGTCGGATTCGCGTATAATTCAAATTGCCAGGGGTTGAAATTCACTCGGAAGTGAATTGCAGAACCTGCCTGATTATCTTTACTGATGACTACAAAACTGACGCATGGTCTCACGCATTCTCCTGTCTCGTAAGTTCTTCCAGTCTAGCTCGGCAATGAAATTCTAGGCTAAATCAAATACGTTGGTAGAGAGTTCTCCGATTAGTAATGATCAGCTAGGACTATATACAACTTGTGGGGATGTTTGCAGGTCTCTGGTCGTCGAAAAAGGCCTAAGGGTGATCCGTGAACATGACAATATCATTTGCCCTTGCAGCGTTGAAGAGAACACTTATTCAGTCTTATTGTGAGTTTCATTTTCCCTGAACTGGTTCACTTTTCACTTGTTTCCGTGTGGTTGTTGTTGCTGTAGCGGCTACAACAACTTTGCCCAGATCGGCTAGTATCTCAGTCGTTGTCGTCAAGTTCGAATAACGGAAAACCTAAGCGTGCAGCCTCTATAGGGCCTTTCTACAGGGACAGAGGCGTTAACAGTGTGGGGTTTTGTGGGCATGCCGGACACTCATTGGGCACATCTGCATCTAGTCTGCTCAGGTATGAGTTAAACCTGCTGCAGTAGCCAGATCGAAGTTGGGCTATTGTGGTCCGAGTCTCCCGAGGCAGACGAAGTTCCGTCTCACTCAGAACGGCATTCACAGGTCTGGAGTCTACATAACTTGGCACTGACTCTCTGTGAATGGTACTCAGGGTCTGTCGTGCCCAAAGATTGCTTTATGAACCTCTGGACTTCGCCGTCATTTCGTATAGATGCCTTCTGAGTCTAAAAATGAGTTTTTAATTTTAATCTAACTGGGAAAGAAGAAAATAGCATACAACAAGAGATTACTAAAAAAACTACTTGCAGGTGGAAGAAATCAACTCACATTCACAGTCACGCTCGATGAGTTTTGGTTTCCATTCTGCAGTCACTAGGGATATTCGTCTCTATCACGACGCTTTACTGTGTCTTCAAGATCGTTCAAATATTTCAACACTTCAGTCGCGGTGACATTATCACCTTCGATTTTTAGCAACCATAATGTTGATGCTGGATTTTGAAGAAAATACCTCAATTATTTCTTCATTCGGCAGAGAAACGAATGACATCGCAAACGAATGCATCGAAAAGCTGCAGAATTCGCTTTATGGCTGTACCGAGACAAGAAATGTTGTTTCCACGTATCCCAACAACTTCTGAAATTGGACGTCGGCTTCATCGCACTCAATGATAATTATATGGTTGATCTAGGGATCTTTTTAAGTTGAACAAAAATGCTAACGATGATGATGTTGATGCTATAAATAACAGCGTTGGATGACTTCGGTATGAAGCCTCGATGACCCACTGATAAAGGCATGCATAACTATATTGAACGACATCTCCCTGTGGGCCGACCCCATTTAGGCTGCACGCTTCTTGGGGCATCCGTTAGTTGAGCTTGACGACAACGACTGAGATATTAACCGAACTGGATGGGGTTGTTGTAGCCGCTACACCAACAACAACAACGACATCTGGCAACTTCTGTGACTCGAAACATCTCTTCGCATGCCCGGCAAACCCGACATCCCTAACGACCTTGTCCTTATGGGCAAACCCCGCAGAAGCTGCACGCTTCCTAGGGTTGCCGTTAGTGGAACTTGACGACAACGACTGAGATACCAACCGATCTGGGCGGGGTTGTTGTAGCCGCTACAACAACAACAACAACGACATCTGGCAGTTTTCATTGCTTAATCCTTTAATTATGTATTTATCCGGAAGAGCCCAAGTCAAAGTTGCCTAAGTACAGAAATCAGAAACTTCTCTCTTCTCAGTTTTAATAAATTTATTTGTTTCATTTTTTAATTCCAAAAATTAAAATTTCCAATTGCTGTATTTTTTATATATGTATATGTATGTATGTATATTCATTGCATTTAATACCTTAACCAAATAATTCTTAGAGAGTTATAGAAGACAAATTGTATAAAAGAAACGGTATGAATACGCAACATTAATAGTATTGTAGTTACAACAAATTAATTATTATCATTATTATTAATATTACGCAAATACGAAGGTAGGTTGATAAACAAAAAATTAAATACAAATCAATGCAAACTTCTATAAATTCTTTCCATACACAAATGACACATCACTGCTTATTATTTATACTAGATTATTTTTTTGAAGTTTTTTTGTTTTTTAAATAAAAGGCTGGCTTTCAACAACAGCCGCAACATTGGTTCAACTGAAATTGTACGGCTATTTGGAAAAATGTTTTTCTCTGAAACGATTAGAGAAACAAAAACAATTTAGAATTTAATTATAGTATATCTACAGGTGGCATTATTTAACAACCGAATCAATACCTCGAGCATAGAATTTGCGAGTGTTATAACAACTGATTTTTGTCATGATTTCCAAAAATTTCAAATTTTATTCATTTTGCTTCACAAGGCAGCCTTGAAAACAATACAATCGAAATAATAATAACAAACACGTTTGTATTATCGTACAACAACATTGATCGTGCTCAAAGTTACTTAAAAAATGCCTTGCTAAAGGACGATTTTGTAAGGTATATCAATATTCAGCGAATAGGGTAAATGCTAGGCAAATGTCATCTCATCATGCAACTCTTTCAACATTAGACAAAATTCTACATAGCCAAAGAACAAGGCTATATTATACATTCATTATTCAAGTTAAAACTGCTGCTCAATAAGCGGAATTGCATAATAAGACTAGTACGTAATATTCACTGAATTCAGCGTTGAGTATTCGCTTTTGTAGGTAATCGTTTTTTTGCAATGTTAGGACAACGTTTTTTGCTTTTTTGTTGTGCATACATATGTATATACTTCAACTTTTACTTTTTGGATCTTCGCTTTTTGCGATTACTAGCCGCACTATTTGTATTAGCAGTGTTGCTGCTGTTGCTACTGTTATTACTGTTGTTGGCATCTCTATTCGGCGGTGAGGCGTTAGCATATTGACTTCCTACATTGCTGGAAGTTTGAGCGAAATTTGTTTGCATGCTCGACGTAGCGCCCACTAAACGTGACCAAATTTGCATGACCAGAGCCTTTCCCGCCAGACCGTCAATATCACCACCGCCGCCACCAAAAACGCGTGCTGTAGTTGTACCTTTCTGTTGTGCCACATTGTTATTGTTATTCATTTTCGATGTTGCTGTTTTCCCTTTAGAATTTGGTTGCGTTTGTTGGTGCTGCTGCTGTTGTAGAGATCGTTGGGCGTATTCTCATGACTTCTTCACCTTACCATTCATTGCCGCGGATGCTGTGCGTCCACCGACCACCGCTTCGGCGGCATGCGTTGCCACATGTTGTATTCCTTTCTCCATACAGCCCTGATATATGGGCTTCATAAACTGAAAACATCATAGTAAAAATAAGATAAATGGTGTAAAGTGGTCGACGGACCATACATTGTCTTGGCCTTGACGAGTAATTTACTAAACTGTGATTAAAAATTTTCTGATTTTAGTGATATTATAAAACAAAAAAAAAACGTCTTTCTGAATTAATATTGAATTATGAATAACTTGAGCATTTCATGATGTTAGAAAATGTTAAACATAGTTCCGTGAATTATTCGACCAGATATAGGCCCTTGTACTACGTCATTGAAATAGTTCATTGTGAACGTTACAGTGTTACAAAAATAAAGTTATACAGTGTTAACGACTAAATATGTACTTACATTGTCCCACATAAACGTCGCAAAGTCATCAAGTTTTACTCCGAAATCGCCCATTTCACCACTGTACCTGTTAGTGAAAATTTCGAATCTATGTAGTACATCTTCTATTCAAGTATAAGGAACTATTTAAACCTTATAACGGGTTTTTCTTACCTAATATACGCCCACAGCGCCAATGTCAACAAAGCCACACCCATTACTAGATTACAGAAATTGGCAAATGTGTAGAGGCCTACCAGACCAAATATCCCACTTAAAACATAACAAATCACTGCTGCGGCGAAATATACGGCCGGCGTGCGTGCAGCCTTGAATATATTTTTGCTTTCATTGTGCGCTTTGTAATTGACGTAAACGTCTTCCAGATCCACATCCAACTGTTGGCGGAATTTCTCGGAGAACTCTTCGCCGCCCATTTTTCGTTTAGATGCGAACTGGGATGTAGAGAGCATTCATTTTTTACAATATTAGTAAAAACATAAGCGTGCAGGAGGTGACTTTTGCTTACTTGGAACAGCGCCTGATCTTTGATACGGAAATGCTCTGCTTCCAAATGTGCTGTACTTAAGTACGGTTTAGTACCGCCGCAAACTTCTTCCATTAATTGATTGTAAAGCTCCTTCGCCGATGCTACGGCTGTCAGATGATTAGCCTCAGCGGTAGCCTATAATGTTGAATATTTTTAATTGAATGTATACATGGCAAATACGTACGTATGTCGTTAATCTTAAAGCAATATATGGNATGTATACATGGCAAATACGTACGTATGTCGTTAATCTTAAAGCAATATACATATGTGAATTTCCCTGTAAAAATTTACCACTAGCATGCTCTTCGGTTCAGGCAGCTCATTACCCTTGTAGATACTCATGTAGGATTGGAAGTACTGTATAAGGTCACGTGCACGCACTCGTTGGCCGCTAATCTCTTTATATACTAAATTGTCCGGTGACAGCAGCATTGGCACAAATGCGCGCAGACTCTGTTTGAATTCGGGAGTTATATCCTTGAGCCGGCCATCAAATTTTGGATTGGTCGCAACACTTAATCCTGGATGTGGCATTAAGAAGCATGCCACTTCCATGAAACACGAAGCAATGTGTCGTCGCAACGACTGCAATTCCGGGTGCTGTTTGTCTGACACTTCTAGGCGGCGCTTAAGTATCTTATCGCCGCCCAAAGCGCCATACTCGGCCTCGTATGGAAAACTCCAATCGCGCACCAGAAACTGTAGACGTTGAAACGGCTTTTTGCCTGTGTCAGCCAATGCCAAGCGACCATATTCTGTGAATAGCTGCAAATGCTGCAGATCATCTTCCTGTATGTTTTGTGACAAATTGTATATCTGCACAGAGGAAACCATTGTGCTGAGCGCAAAAACGGTAGCACAATCGCGCACCGTACTTTGACTGTCAAATGCACCTTGGGTGTCGAGCAAAATTATGGCCACCTTGTCACCGTTCGGATAGTCGTGCAGGAATATTTCGGACCACATCAAAATACCTGTGGTATCGCGTTCGGAACCACCACGCCACGAGAATCCTGTGAGTGGCTCATTATCGTCGCCGAGCCAATCGGTTACCACATCATGCCTCACATACTGATGGAGAAACGTGGAAAAGTGTATAGCATAATTGAAAGAAAAATATACACATAGTACGAGCATGTTGGGATTGAGCTTACTTTTGAGTATAGATAGCGCAGGAAAAAGTCGAGCAAAAAACTTTTGCCTTTGCGAAATGCACCAGCCACAGACACAACGCAAACAAAGCGATCTTTCACTTCGTCGCGCATCAGCACTTCGCTTAACGCATCTTCGTTCAGGATGAAGGTATGCTCCTCCGATGTATTTATTATTTGAATTGCCGTTCCAGGCATGCTCACCGCTGTATGTGAACGAGTGTTACGGACTACAGTGACAGCTTTGCAAACCGAGAAGTATGTGTGACGTTTCTTCAACTATTTCACGATGGGCTAAGCTGAAATAGAGAAATGTGAGATAAATATTAGTAGTGTAAATATGAGGCTATGAGAATCAGAGGAGCCTATCTGCGAACCGTATTAAACTGAGGTATAACATTTTTATAACTTGTTTCTAAAATAAGTGCGCCTTCTAATCTTGAAGGGATTCACAATAACGGGGTTTAAATCAATAAAGAAAGCTTTAAACGTTTCATCAACGTATACAGTGTCATGCTGAGATCGGGCCGCACGCGAGCTATGTGGGTTCGTTATAGGGAGCTGAAAAGGGGAGATACCGGAAGACGTGAGTGCCCAGACGACGGCAAATTCCTATAAGAATTACCACGGCGAGGTAGGGGCCTATGTCCACACCATACTTAAATTATGGAGAGAACCCTTGTCCATCCTGTTGAATGGTAAAAACACTGCAAATAGTGGAGAAGATGAACCCGAGTGTACCACCAGCTCCAACAGAATTTTTTGAGGACCTCTCCGGGCGCTACGATAACAAACGAGGTTTCAGACAGTGCGACCCTCTATCATGAGACTTCTTTAATCTGATGGTAGAGAAAATATGAGGATGGTTCTGTGCGCTGAAGTCGAAAGCTTTTGACTGCTATTCACCTGGGAATGGCCAGAAGTGATTCTTGTGCGTACGGTTGAAATCGCAGCACACTAAGTCCAGATATTTATATCCACGTATGCTCTGGGTAGCGACCAAACACCCGTTCGAGAGAGAGCTAAAGTGAGAAGGCGTAAAACTTCACGTGCGTTGGGTTTGGGTTCCGCTACGTTAAAACCCCGCCCAATCAAAAACAAAAAGCAGCCTCGGATGAGACTAACTTTTTCTGATGACGCCCACGGCAAACGTATTAAGGACTATTATTTGAGCGTATGCACCTGAGGAAGGTGCCTCTTCCCGGCTGCTTGATGTCGTCGGGAAGACTTATGGCCCAGTTATACATACTTGCACTGCTATATCATTTTTACCTAAAAATCAAAACCTAACAGAATTCTACATGTTAAGTGCTATGCGTTGGGTAACCGCTTACACACAAATCCCATTTAACAGATTCTTATGTGCCAACTCTCAAGCAAAGCTAAGTATGCATAACTGGGCTATAAGGACCGCCATCCAAGTCGCCGAGTACTGGCGTTCACCCCGGTGGAATAACGTCTAGCCACAATCCGCATCAAAGCTAGATTCTTCGATATTTGCGCTCATGCACGGACGGAAGGGAAGGACCAGGCGTCCAGGGATCTCTTCTATGATCGCTTCGAGAGAGCATATGAGGGCTGCCCCCGACATGAGATACGCACCCGCATCTGTGCAGCAAAAAATGTGTGCCCAACAATGGAAGGAAAGCTTAACGTCGAAAAGCTTCAATTACAACAGACTGCCAATTTATTCGAGACTCGACTCACACACCTGCTCTCTGAGAGCACACTTCAACAAACCGACATACGCGAACAGTGGAGCCATATTTCCTGCTCATTAAGTACCGCCGCCGAAGAAACAGTCAGATTTCAGCGAGCCTGAAAGAACAACTGGTACGATGAGGAGTCACGCTGCGATCGGACGCTCCGCGAGCCATGTGGGACCGTTATAGGGAACTTAAGAAGGGAGACGTATTTGCGCATTAAGAAGAGAGAGGCCGAAATAGGTGAGTGCGAAGAGCTTGAGATGCTGGCAGACAGGAAAAAAGCCCGAAAATTTCATCAGAGGGTTCGGCGACTTACGGAAGGTTTCAAGACCAGGGCGAAGACCTGTAAGAACAACCATGGCGACTGATGTCCAGAACGTACTTAAATTATGAAGGGAACACTTTCCCATCCTGTTGAATGGCAGCAGCACTGAAGGTAGCGGAGAAGACGAACCCCAATCGATGGCGATGGAGTCGATGTCCCACCGCCTGACTATGACGAGGTACGAATAGCGATTACGCGGCTGAAAAACACCAAAGCTGCTGGAACTGACGGCCTGCCTGCCGAGCTATTCGAGTACGCCGGCGAGGAGCGGAATATGGTCAGATAAGCGCATACCCGGCAACTGGAATTTAAGCGTGCTCTGCCCAATCCACAAGAAAAGTGATCCTGCCATACGCGCCAACTACCGCAGGATCAGCCTTCTAAGCATAGCTTACAAGGTCTTAACAAGTGTATTGAGTGGAAGACTGAATCCCACCGTCAGCGAACTGATTGGACCTTATCAGTATGGCTTTTAGACCTGGCAAACCCACCATAGAGCAGGTATTCACAATACGCCAAATCTTGGAAAATGCCCGCGATAATAGCATTGACACGCGCCATATATTTGTCGATTTCAAGGCCGCTATCGACAGCACGAAAATAAGTTGCCATTATGCCGCTATGACTGAATTTGGCATCCCCGCCAAACTGATAAGGCTGTGTAAAATGACGTTGAGCAATACCAACAGCTCTGTCAGAATTGGGAAGGACATCTAAGAGCCGTTTGATACCAAACGAGGTTCCAGATAACGTGACTTTCGTGTGATTTATTTAATCTGGTGTTGGAGAAGTTAATAAGGGCTTCAGACCTGAACCGCTCAGGGACAATACTTTACAAGAGCGTACAATTGCTGGAGTATGCCGATGACAACGACATCATGCTGGGTTTGGAAGAAAAACGGGTCGGGAGGTGAGCTTGGCACCCACGTCACTGTTGGCAGTTATAATTTTAAAAAAATTTAGGACTTCGTTTGTTTTGGAACCTGTATTAACACCGACAATAACGTCAGCCTTGAAATCCAACGTAGAATCACTCTTGCCAACAAGTGCTGCCTTGGACCGAGTAAACGATTGAGAAGTTAAATCCTCCCTCGTCGTACAAAAATTACACCCGTTCTGCTATAAAGCAGAAGAATGGACACTGACAAAACCCAATGAGGCGGATAAGTTAAATTTAAGAGCCTATGCGCGTTGGCGACAATGCGATAACACAAAGTAAATATTAAAATATGGCTGCCAAAAGAAAGAGGCTTAAAAAAGCTTATAGCAAAAAAATATTTTTGTTGCAGGTTGCCACCCGTTTGAAATTTACATTTAATTTAATTGATAAGTTAAATTAAATATTGTATTATGGGTATAAACTGAGTTTTAGGAAAATCTACTGTCGAAAATATTTTGAGGGTTGCCACGTGTTTGAAAAAATTTATTGAATTAAATTGATAAAATATATTTTTGTTGAAAGTTGCCACCCGTTTGAAATTTACATTTAATTTAATTGATAAGTTAAATTAAATATTGCATTATGGGTATAAACTGAGTTTTAGGAAAATCTACTGCCGAAAATATTTTTGAGGAGGGTTGCCACGTGTTTGAAAAAAAATTATTGAATTAAATTGATAAAATAAATGAAATATTATAATACGGGTATCAAACAGCACAAAAACACTTTTAAGGCGCAGTGAAGTACGCCAGGTAAATGCTGGTAATATATATTAAAGAAATATTAATATGAGTCTGAGCAACGGAAACCAAATCAACAATTTTAAGAATTTTTGTCTGTCCGTCTATCTGTATGTTTGTATGCGACTCACTCGAAAACTAATGCATGAAATTGAATGCAGGTTTCACCGATGTATTTCCAGAGGTCTAACTCAAAATAGAGAAAAAAATAGAGAGTTGCCACCTGATTGAAAATTGCAGTTTAAGTTAATTGATAAGATAAAGTAAATATTCCAATATGGTTGTTAAAACAAAGGGGCTTAACAAGACTTACAGCCAAAAATATTTTTGTGGAAGGTTGATATCTGTAAATTTTGATGAATATTTGTTGAATTTTGGTTAAAGCTTGGACGGTACTTTAATAGAAAAATAACAAAAAACATTTAGCTCGAAAAACATTACGAATATTAAAAAAAAAATCAACACAATGCCCCTTGTTTGACTCACTGAATGTACATTAGAGTGGTCCATTTTTTGTATGGGGGAAAAATTTCATCCTAGAAGGCAGAAAAATATAATTTTCAACTCTTCAGATTTTTTAGAATTTTTTTGAGTGTGCAGTTTGGAGCCCATTAAATTTTAGTATAAAGTGCAAAATTAAAGTAGCTAGCACGTACCGTTTTGGAAATTTTTTCACGCATTTTTTTTCCACAAAAAAAAAATCGAATTTACTTTGTTTTTTATACTAGGGCTGCTTAAAATTTTTATATTGAAGTGCCATCACAATACATCTACAAAATTTATGTGTACTTTGTATTTTTTTTTAAGTAATTTAAATGAAGCTAAAAAGTGCAAGTTTATTTTTATTGTACGATTAGTTAATGAAAATTGTTAGCAATGGGAGTATTTACATACATAGTATATGTGAAAAAATACAGTGCGTTAAGAAATGATAGCGACCTAGTGGCTGAAAAGTCCAAAAATTTAGTGGGAGGAATTTGGCGAAATCTGTCAATAACCACGCCACCTCCCATGTAGTAATTAACAATACTTTTGTTTTATTATTTTTTTTTTTAATTTTGCTGTTTAAATTGACATTTCGAATATATCCACAAAACATTTGTGGGTACTTTTGCACCAGCCGTTGCCTATGGATTAATAAAAAAAAATCCTACACATGCACAATATTTCATGTATTAATTTTCAAATAAGCATATTGTCAATGGCTGGTTTACTGTATACTGTTCATATTGCAAGCTCCAATTTTACATTTTCATTCGAATCCTTGGGATACTCCTCGCATATAAAAGTCCCACTTTAAAGCGTAAATAGCACCATTGAAGCCATATGCAATAAAATTTAAGGAGGGCACCTTTAATCAAGTGTGAACAGAAGATAAGAATTTTTCCAACATATACATATATGTATATAATTTTATTTTATTGTTTTGCGCGAAGTTTGCCGGACATTTGTTGACATTTTACCTCTAAGTCGCGAATTTTATTTTTTCTGCAATCCGATCCAGTGATCTGCATTTATCTATGTATATCCCCTTTGAAAATTTTCAAAAAGTTTTGATGGCAAGTTATAAAATGGCGTTGCAAGTCATATTTCTTCATTCGCTTAATAATTATAAAGCACAACATAAACTAGGTACGCTTTGCACTCAAAATTGCAAAAACGATCTCGCGCTCCTACACTTTAATGAACGCCATGTGTTTTTTTCAATAAATTTCTTGTTCACTTTCAGTAAATACGAATACTAAATTAAATAACAGACTTCCAAAAAAAGGAGGTTATCAGTTCGTCGGATTTTTTTTTTTTTTATGTATGTTACCGCATACTAATTTGGTTTAGATATATATATTTTTTAAGTTCGTTTTTTTGCTAAAAATTACTTGTTTATAATATAAATTTTTTCAGTGCTGACCAAGGTACATTGAACAGGTAGTATCAGTAGAGCAGCTGATTTGATTTATTTTCAAATTATTTGGTCTCGAAAATGTCAAATATTTTGAATTTTTTCTCACGAAAATTATAAGTTGTTAAAATCCATTTGCTTGTGAAACCTTTTTCCATACAAAACAAGCGATTGAATAGCAGCTTTTGGAACGTTCGCCCAACTCGGCAGCACGACCGCTGATTACTGGGCCTTGCAAAGGATGGATCAATGCTTCGAGAAGCAAACAAATTTACTTGCATCAATTTTTATTTTTTCCAATTTCAATTTTTTATTTTTTATAATTTTTTGTATTTCACATGGCACGCTTTGATTTAGAAGAAAAAATTCAGAACAGTTTTTGACACTTTCGATACCAGAAGCAACAACAAAATACACGTAAATATTGTTTTTGCTCTACTGATGCTACCTGTTTAATGTGCCTTGGTGCTGACATATTTTTTATTATTTTTTCATTCTATGTTCGTTTACACATGTTTGTAAATTTTACTTGAGTACCTGAGCTTCATATGGGAGGGCGTTTGTTTCGCCATTCCATATGAAACTTAGGCACTTTCATACGAATTGTGGGCAATAATTTTTTGTTTTTATATTTAAAGTGTAAATTTGTATATGTGCCTATACTTCAGGGCAAAACAAAAACAAATGTGCTTATGGAGTGAGCAGCTCTGTTCTATACTGAAATATAATGGGCTAGAAAACTGCATACATAATTTATTAAATTTTGATGAGTTTTTCAAAGTTTAGAAATTGCTTTTTATTTTATTTTTTTGTTGTAGTAAAAACAACACTTTTACAAACAAATTGCGGAACAAATTTTTTACAGTTATTTATTATTTGTGCCGCTGTGGACCTGAGATCGAGCCCAGTTTCCGACTAAAATCAAAACAAAAGAAGAGCAAATTATTTTGCTAATAGCGGTCGCCCCCGGCAGGCAATGGCAAATCTCCGAGAGTATTTCTGCCATGAAAAACAGATTCCCATAAAAATACAACGGCCGTTCGGAGTCGGCGTAAAACTGTGTGACAATATCAAGACGCACGCCACAATTCGGAGCAGAAGCTCGGCCAAACACTAACATATTGTGTAAACGCCACTCTATTATTATTCAAAAACCGTCGCTTCGGGGAAAAAAGAAATACCACAACAAAATAAAAATTGTGTTTTCATATTTTAGACTCATTTAAGGACTATTCAATTTACTCCAGAATGTGATCAATTGTGATTTATAACAATATAGTCGGAACTTATAAAACAGTGAAAGATATTGTATAACGTAGATAAATAAGTAATGTATACAATTCTTTTGGAAAAAATACCTAACAATTTCTAAGCTCTTTGTAACTATTATTTGATTGGATGTAATTGGTGGGACATGGATCCCTATTTTTACCTTTGTGCACTCAAAGACCAATTCTAGCCAAACACTTGATTTTCAAACCAAATTTGTTTAGCTATAAATTATATACTACACATACAAATTAATGAAATTGTGTTATTTAACAGGAGTTTATTACTGAAATAGGCATAATTAAGGCATTTTTTCAAGAGTTCCTCTCTTGCATTCAATGACTCTAAAACAAATTTTTTCATACAGACAGTAGTTCTGAATTCTCAATTCATATACCTACTTTTTATTTATTAACTGATAAACGATTTTTGAAAAAAAAAATGCAAGTAGGATTAATATTAAATGTATTGCATTTTACCCTTTTTACCTTAGAAAATGTACGAAAAATTCATAATTTGCAGCAGCATTAACAGCTGCCAAACAAAATTCTGCAAAAAGCCAAATTCTTGGCAAGCAACAGGAGCGCTGAGAGCAAAAAAAAAAAAATTAGACAAAACACAAAACCATGCGAACTAATAAGAGCAAACACAAATAAGTCAAAATCAAAAGTTTAAATAAATGAAAACATAATTTTAAAGCAATATTAAGAAATGCTTCATACATATGTATGTACGTACATTAGAGTGGTAAGAATTTTTTTTTTCGAGATAGGGTTTGGGGCACCTTCCAAAATGTTTCCTATTGCCGAAAGAGGTGCTGGTACCAAACCCTACCTTTCTAAGTGTAAATTTAGATGATGCTCATATTTTACCCTGGAAGGATTGTAACCTAAGAACATTTCAAATTCAAATTATCTATTAAAATATCACAAGCTTCAGTTGTCATGGCAACAGTAGCTTTTTATAAAAATCACAAATATTTTTCATTGTCATTGAGCACCCTGTAGCGGTTGCAGTAGAAAGCCGAAAGTTGGTTTAGATATTAGAAATATTATAAGGAAAAAAACTAGGGGGATGCTCCGTTTTCTAGGATAAAATCTTTTTCCCCATACAAAAATTGGACCACTCTAATGTACATATGTGAGGTGTGTTGTTTTTTCTTCTTTTTTTCGAAATTATTAGATAGAGTCCAAAAATAAATTTTTTAGGTGCTTGCATTCGTCATCGCCGGCCCGTCGTAGTCGACAAAGCAAAGCGATTTCAGGCGAAAGGCCAGAGAAAAGTTAAGGCGGCGGGTGGTGAAAAAAGTGCAGCGACTGAATGGAATTCTTGCTGCAAATAGAATGAAAAAGTTTAAAGTTTATTAAAAGTACAAGTCATTGGCAGGTAAATATGAGTATGTTTGTAAGTGCATACAAATCTACATACATATGTATGCTACTCTGTGCACATGCTCCTGTTCTGGTTTTGCCATTAACATAATACTAGGGATGTCAGTAGCAAAAATACATCGATCATTTGCCTGCCATCGATGCATCGATGCGTCGACTATCGAGCGGAAAATTTTCGACGCATCGAAGCAAAATATCGATATATGCATCGGTGTTTTTTCGACATCCCCACATAATGCACACTTTTTAACATGTTATATATTTACGTACATGCAGTTTTACTTAATATGTACACTGCCGGAACAAAGTATTGGCACAGCAAATTTTTCACAATATGTATATGCAACAATTTTTATTCTAATATTTTTCCACCAATTTTGTATAAAAATATGGTTCATTCAACAACAAATAACATAAAAATATAATTCCTAAACTGTGTGCCAAACTCGCGAAAATTCAGCAAATTTTCATCAAAATTTTCAACTTTTACTAACTTGCAGTTTTTTAACTAGAATTTAATGGGCTACAAATCTGCATACTCAAAAAAATTCTAAAAAGTCTAATTAGAAAGTTGAAAATTTTCATGAACATTTGCTGAATTTTTGCGAGTTTTACACAAAGTTTAGGAATTATATTTTTATGTTTTTTGTTGTAGAATGAGCCATATTTTTATACGAAATTTGCGAAAAAAAATATTAGAATGAAAATTGTTGCATATATTGTGGAAAATTTGCTGTGCCAATACTTTGTTCAGGCAGTGTATGTATGTAAATATGAAGGTAGTTGTACATTTGTACATACATACATAGTATGTACGTAAGTTTATACATACATATGTAGTACATATATAGCATGCATGCTGAGCTCATATTCAACTGGTTAATGCTTGTGACACCCATCTCAAGATTAATCACCACGCAAGTATCAGTCATAACTTTTGTAGTTGAATTGCGCCAACAAATGCCAAGGAACTCAATTTGTGTCAACCAAATTAAAAACATCTAACAAATATTCTCACAATTTGTTTCTGGTCTTCATTTCATTGTTTGTTAAAAACGTGAAATTCACAGATTATGCATTTATTCTAGCGGACTTGGTTGAGAACAGTTGTAAATACAATAGGTATGTACATATAAACGGCGGAGACCTTTGGCATTCGACAGCAATTAATTGAGCAACAAGTCGCGCTGTGCCAGCCTTTAAATCACGGTTCATTTACTAATAAAAATCACTTCGCCTGATGATGTTCGCTCCGAGATTTTTTTTTACATACATACAGATGCGAGTATGCAATTAAATATTCCTTGTGCTAGCTATGACACAAACACTATATGTAAGGTAATTATTTGAATAATACAGACAACGGATTTCCTTAGAATTCATTAAAAAAAAACAAACATTCTAAATTCACAGCCTAACAGTTTTCGCTTTACTTTGTATTTGCTTATACGAAAGCATTATGTATTTTTTTGCACTTCACAACTTTGAACTTCGAACGTAAATACTTTTTCAATGCCACATACAATTCAAAACGTGTGTACTGTTTTACCGAAGACGCTTATTAAAAAATGAAAATAACAGCGCCCATAATATAAAGAAAAAAGCCTAGATACAAGCCAGCTTTCTAGTAACTAAATCCGTAAATCTGTTACAGATAGTCAACTATACAAATAAGTAGATAAATAAATCGCAATAGAGTAGAAGCAGTCATCACACACTAAAAATAATAATAACAAAAGCAACTACGTCAACAATATTTGTAAACTTCGTATCAGATTGTCGCAGTAAATACATAAACACAACAACAATTAGGAAACCGATTATGGAGATTATTTTTCGTCGTATCCATCGTATTCTATCATCACTAAATATTTACCAGCGTTTGGCTTTTTTGACGAAACGACGATTTAATTGAATTAATTAACCGTCACCGCGCGCTGTCGAATCGCAACTCAACAGCACCAATTTTGCTCTATTCGACTATGCTCAGATTAGTTTAGTTCACTTGACATCGAAGCGATTCGGTTCCGTTCACGACAATCAATTAATGTGGAGTATCATCGTTGTCTCTTCTCTGGTACTCGTAGTATACTAAAGAGCGAGCGCTCAATGATATTCATAAAAAACTTGCGCATTCGACTCATTTATTTAATATCACAATGAAGATGCAGAGATTGGGTAGAAATATGTATACAAAGAGGAGAAAACCTGCTCACATCGATAAAGTATATAAATGATTACGTCGGCGATCTGTTCGATTCGATGGGAATTAATGTGCTTTGGTGATTTGTTTTGTGACTCTTTAAGCACCGCTGGTGAGAATGAGAGGTATATGACTACCTAGGCTTTAGATGTGTTGAGTATGTACGTTCGGGTGTTCAAAAAAATTCTCGGAGCTAAGGTACGGCGCACCTTCCAAAATTTTCCATCTTGCCGAAATATGTGCAAATTTTACATTTCCAAACAATGGGTTAAGCAACCTAAGAAAATTTCAAATTTCAATTAGCTGAAAAAATGTTACAAACTTCAGTTGTCAGAGTAGACTTGAGACGAGGCCTCTCCAACTTCTCATCGAATGCAATGAATTTATAAATTATAAAGTTTTATTATACATATTTTAAGTTTTAGGCCTAAAACGCCGTAATAATAAATAAATAAGTAAATAAATAAAAAGTAGCTTTTTATAAAAAATCGTCAATATTAGGGATTCAAAAACGAATTTGAGGGTCATTGATAACCCGGTATTGGTTAAAGTTGAAAATTGAAAGTTTTTATAGATATTACAAATAGTAAATGGAAAAAAACTGAGGGGCTCCCGGTTTTCTTCGAAGACATTTTTCCCCTTACGAAACTTGGACCACTCTAAAGTACATACAAATGTACGTATATATATATATTTCAATGCTCAGTGATGTCAACAACGAATAGAGCCAGTAGAATTTAAGAGATAGGTACACAGGTATGTATATACATAAGTATCTTTAGTATATACATCCATACATACGTACAAAGCTTATGTGCTTATAGTCCAGATATAAAAAAAAACACCAGGATTTTAAAATAATACACTAAAGTCTAATTAGACATTTAATAACGAAAAAAGCCTTTCAAATTATCAAATAATTTTCAGGCTGAGAAACAAGTCATCGTCTACATAGAGGAGGGCATTGACAGAGAAAGTGCAGTATTGTTTCCCGCTCTCCATCGTCTATTCAGCATCTACCCGTACGGAAGGCCTGAGGATCTAAATGCGATTTTTCTCTATATAGTATATTCACCCTCCTAGCAATGGGTTGTACGCCGAGCTTCGCAACGGCAACTTTTTTTTTTTTTTTTTTTTAAGGATTTCCTCAACAGATGTTGAGATAAAGTTGGCTGCGACAAAAGCCGACAATGCCAGATCAGCAAATATAATTGTTACAGAAAAAAAAAAAAAA